TCGGTTTCTGGAGGGCCTGGGTCTGGAGCTGGTGTTGGTGCTGCCTCTGGGGGTGGTGTGCTTGGTGCTTCGGAGGTCGACTCTGGGGCTGCCGCTGCCCCGGACACTACTCCTTCCCCCCACCCCTACCCGACCAGGTTCCAGGCTCGTGTTCGTCGTGCTCGTGAGGAGCAGCTGGAGTTGGAGAGAGAGGAGAGAGAGTTGCAGCGGCTCGAGGAGCAGGAGCGACAGCAGCAGGAGCAGCAGCAGGAGCAGCAGCAGGGGCAGCAGCCGCTGGAGCAGCAGCAGCCGCAGCAGCCGCAGCAGCAGCAGCTGCCGTCTCCTCCTCCTGTCTCGGGTCTTCGGACCCTTGGTCTCCCCTCTCCCTCTCCTTCCTCCTCCCCCTCTCCTCCCGTCTCTGGTCCTCCGCTTCCTCCTCCTGACCCCTCTCCCGCTGTTTTCCCTCGTTCTCAGTCTTCGTTGTCCCCTCCTCCTTCTCAGACTTGGGCCTCTCGTCGCTCCCCTCGTGCTCGTCCCTCGTCTCCTGTTCCCTTCACTGACCTTCGTACTGCCTTACTTTGTTCTCGTCCACCTCGTCCGTCTCCGTCTGTGCTTCCGTCTCCTCCTGAGTCGGCTCTCACTGCGTCGCTCCCTACTCCTGTCACTGACTACTACCGCACGTACCGTCCTCTTCTCTCTCGTGTTCTCGCCTCACTTGTTACTCACCCTCGTGCCTCTGTGTCCTCTGTGTCCGCTCTTACTGCCGCAGTCACTGAGTTTGCCTCTACCCGCCGCCTTGACTTCGCCACCACTCTTGTGGCTGCTCCTCCTTCCAGTCCTCTGGCCGTCGGGGGTGTGTCTGCCCTTGGCTGTGACGCCCTAGAGGACAGGCAGTTTGAGCTAGAGTTCCTGGCGGCCGCTTCCCCTCATCTCTGTGCCATGCTGCTCGCCCCTGAGGGTGACCCCGACGCCCTTGACATTCCGACTCCTCGCACTTACGCTGAGGCAGTGTCAGGGCCTTGGGCCTCTCAGTGGAGAGCTGCCATGGACGCAGAGATGGCCTCCTACAGATCCACAGGCACCTACGTCGATGAGGTTCCCCCTCCGGGGGCGAACGTAGTCGACGGCATGTGGATCTACAGGGTGAAGCGGCCACCGGGATCTCCTCCGGTCTTCAAGGCGCGCTACGTGGCTAGAGGTTTCAGTCAGCGCGAGGGAGTTGACTTCTTTCAGACCTTCGCGCCCACCCCGAAGATGACCACTCTTCGGGTGTTACTACACGTAGCAGCACAGAGAGACTACGAGTTACACTCTCTCGACTTCTCTACTGCTTTCCTTCAGGGCAGTCTTCACGAGGAGGTCTGGTTGCGTCGTCCCTCTGCCTTCACTGGCTCTTTCCCTCCTGGGACCCAGTGGAGGCTGAGGCGACCGGTTTACGGTCTTCGTCAGGCTCCTCGTGAGTGGCACGACACCCTGCGTTCTACCCTGTCTGACCTTGGGTTCCAGCCATCTTCTGCTGACCCGTCGCTGTTCGTTCGTCGTGGCACCACACCTTTCTTTGTTCTGGTCTACGTTGACGACCTTGTTTTCGCCACCCCTGACAGGGTTGCTTTGGCACACGTGAAGTCCGAACTGCAGAAGAGACACACCTGCACTGATCTTGGTGAGCTGCGCCACTACCTTGGCCTGCAGATCACCAGGGACAGAGCTGCTCGCACCATTACACTTTCACAGTCGCACATGGTGCAGCAGGTCCTTCAGCGGTTCGGGCTTCAGCACTCCACAGTACAGCACACACCTCTTGCTGTTGACCACAGACTCACTGGACCCTTTCCTGACGAGCCGTTCGAGCCTAGTGGTCCCTACGCAGAGCTTGTGGGTTGCCTCATGTACCTGATGACTTGTACTCGCCCGGACCTCGCCTTCCCTCTCAGCGTTCTTGCGCGCTTTGTTGCGCCAGGGAGACACCGTCCTGTTCACTGGACAGCAGCTGTGAGGGTGGCGAAGTACCTAGCGACGACGTCAGGCGTGGGGCTAGTTCTTGGAGGGCAGCAGTCTGTCGTACTTACTGGTCACTGTGACTCCTCTTACGCTGACGACGCTGAGACTCACAGGTCTACTCAGGGGTACTGTTTCAGCCTGGGTTCTGGAGCTGTTTCCTGGCGGTCCACGCGCTCCTCTTCGGTCTCGACCTCTACAGCTGAGGCTGAGATCTACGCTGGTGCCATGGCGGCACAGGAGCTGCGTTGGTTGACCTTCTTGCTCACCGACCTTGGTGAGCGGCCGAGCTCTGCACCGACCTTGTTCACTGACAACAAGGCGTCTATTCTCCTTTGTCGAGAGCCACGACTGGAGAGCAGAGTGAAGCACATTCACGTCAGGTACTTTCTTCTGCGAGAGTTGCAGAGGCGTGGACAGGCTCGCTTTGAGTTTGTGGAGTCCGAGGCCAACACTGCAGACATCTTCACCAAGGCGCTTCCGCCTTGTGACCACCAGAGGTGCTGTGTGCAGTTAGGCCTTGTTGACACTGGTTCTCGTGTTGCTTAGACTTGAGTGTACTGTTTACTTTGCTTTCTATATATCTCTGTTACTTCTTGGACTGGCCTTGTGGCCACTGTTGTTTGTGCTCAGACTGTGTGGTGACGTTGTGATCCACCCTGAGCTTTGTTTCTTGGACTGGTCTTGTGACCGTACTCGTTTGGTTCTGCTAGACACCCCTCACTTAGGCTATGGGGTTGTGTCAAATGTTGTAGCCTATAGTGAGGTTTGTCTTAAGGGGTACAAAACTTAGGGTTAGCTATATGTACCCCAACCAACATCAATGCACCATCCATTCTTCATTCTGACAGTTCGTTACACCCACTGGCGCGCCAACGCACATTCAGCACGGATGGCCGCGCACACCTATGATTGGTCCGTTGGGCAACATCAAAGCCAACGCACCCAGTTTCCGTGCGCTCCCGAAGCACCGCTCACTGCCAACGTTGCCAAATTGCGCGCCAGGTGGGGTATGTGCTGTCGTTTCCACCACCGAGCATCAGCCTATGCCATGCAGTTCCCTACCAGCGAGGGAACCGTGCTGCCTGAGGCCCCTTGGGCTTTGTGATTCCCGAGGGGTCTCTCAGACTCTCGCCATTCTCTCGCTTCCCTCTCGTTTGTTGTTCCGAATGCCTGCCTCTGAGCCTGATCCGCCTGGTAGCACCAGGAACGGTCTCTCCGTTCTCGGTGTTTTACCTCGGCTGGCTGACAACTATAGCATCCCTATCTCTCAGCCTGTGCGTGAGCCATCCCCTGAATGTCTTGTTGGCACCGTTTTCCCGTGCGAACGTTCAGCCTCGCCAAAGTCCCGGGAGCCACACCCGTCTCTCGAGCTTGTTCCCGATGGCGGCGAAGGCCCGTCGAAGCCAGCCACTGCAGCCCCGTCCACAATGAGCACAGCGCCCGTGAAGCGACAGCGTGTGGGCGTGACATACAAGCAGCAGAGGCTCTGGGGCGCCCCTCCTCCACGACAAGCGGCATCACCACCACGCCGTGCTGCTCCTGCTGAGCCGAAGCCTCCAACCGCTTCAGCAGAAGCTGAGTACGAAGCGGTAAAAGCAACTTTCGATTCCCAATGGTTAGGTAAATTCAGCTGGCTTCGCTTAATGCGCATGACTAACGGTAGGCCGTCATTGAAATGTGCCATCTGCATCAAGCACGGAGATCCAAACGCGCACACTGCCTACGGCATCAGAGGTGAGGGTGCGCGAGACATGCAGCTAGGGAGCATCCGCGCGCACACATCCAGTAGAGCCCACAAGCAGGCCTTGGAAAACGAGGCCAAAGCAGACGCGGAAAAGGCGAAGCAAGCCACACTAACAAGGTGGCAGAGCACCGACGCAGCTACACGGCACATCATCCGCTGCCTCCACATCGCGCTCTTCATCTGCAAGGCTGACGCGCCAATAGCCATGTTTGTTCCATTGTGCTGGTTTTTGGCTAAGGAAGGATTGCCGGACCTTCCTCCGTCTGGAGGGTACGGCGCCTACTACACCGAGTAAGTGCGGTTTCTGGCGCTTGTGTTTGTTCCATGTCTCAAGCTGACGAGATACTAATGCAATCTGTGTTCTGGTGCCTTGTGTTTTGTCCTCGCAGCTACGGATTCAAAGAGATGCTGCGCGCCACCTCCACGTACCTTCAAGAGACTCAACGCGGCCACCTGCTGGAATCCCCATGGATAGGGATTTGTCTCGATGAGAGCACCGACCGGGTGAATGGCAAGCACCTGATTCTCTATGCAACATTCTTCAAAGGGACCGCACCGGTAACGGAGTTCTTAACTCTGATTCCCGTGGACCGTGCCGATGCGGCCTCGCTAACCTCCGCTGTTGTGCTGTACCTTACCGGAATCGGGGTCGATCTCCAGAAGATTTCCGGAGTATCTACGGACGGGGGCAGTGTGATGACCGGCAAGAACAACGGGGTCGTCGCGAGGCTGCGACTTCGCATTCCACACTTGGCTTCGACTCACTGCGTCGCTCACAGGTACGGAGGTTGGTTCTCGATTTTTATGAAGTACCAGATCAGCGACGAATTAACGTTCTGACATGCTCCACTCGAATGCGCAGGGAGGCATTGGCAGCTAAGGATGCCGCGGAGGCAGTCCCCGAGCTCGGCATGGTGGACGACGTGGTGCGAGCTTTCTCCGAGCACATCGGCCGCAGCAGCGTGGATTACACCAAGTTTCAGAATCTGCAGCGCGTCTACTGCCAGACGAATCTGGAGGCGCAGGGCATACACGACGTACGCTGGCTCTCCCGTGGCAAGGCGATCCAGCGGTTCCTTGACGTTCTGCCCGCAGCCATCGTCGTGCTGAAGGATTACAAGAAAGACTTGTACGAGGTAGTCACCTCGTTCAAGTTCCACTGGCTCATCCGCTTCCTCGCGGATGTGCTGTGGGAGCTCAACCAACTCAATCTGCGCTTTCAGCAACGTCAGGTAACACACTGACAAGCGAATTCTTACTTACACGCACGCCTGCAATGCTCCTACTGACCTCGTCTTTTGTATGTGTGCAGGTGGACGTCACCCTCGTGGTGCACCTTGTTCAACAGACGCGGATGCGCCTGAAGGCGCGCTACTTCGACAGGTCCCCTGGTCACTTTTTATGCAGCGGAGAGAAGATGCAGCTGCCTGACTTAATCAAAGCTCACCAGAAGCTGGATCAGCGTGAAATGAAAGCGGAAGGCGTTGACGCGGATGGCAATGCCGTCTCCTTCGAATACACCCTGCACGAACGCCCCCTGCCAGGCCATGAGATTGAGGGTGATGTAACCGCGTGCTTTGAGCTTTTGCTCAAGTTCATCCGCAAAGTGGACGAGGAGCTGGAGTGGCGCATGCGCGACCTCAGCCACCTGGAAGGCGCCAAGTTGTTTCGCACAGCGTCGTATCTGTCCGATGACACCAAGCGACTAGAGGCCTTCATGAAGTGGCTTGGCCAGCTCCACAAGCTGTACAACCACAAGCTGCCTGGTAAGCGTGCTTGTCTGATGTGTCGGGTATTTGAGATTGACATGCCGGCTACAGCTTTGCACCAGCTTGTTTCCCATTGCGCTTCTTGCTGCTCATCACCCGGCCCTGTATTGTTGGACTAATGCCTCCCACTCCTACCCGTATGTATGAGCATATGCCAATTATCAACCCCTTCCGCACTACCAGGGTTCGACTACAAGCGTGCCGGCTAGGAGCTCTGGATGTTAACCTCGACCATGTTCTCCCTGCACAACGGCGAGGAGTTTCATCAGGCGCTGGGGAACATGCTGCGCGACGAGGCGTGGCGTGCTTCGTTTCCCAACATCGTCCGGATGTGGCAGTCTGTCGCCGTGCTACCACTGAGCACGGTTGAATGTGAGCGCGGCTTCAGCAAGCAGAACCTGATCAAGACGTGGGACCGCGGCAGCCTCGGCGACACAAGCCTTGAGCACCTGATGCGGTGCTCCCTCCTTCGGTACGACATAGACTGGTACGAGGTGGTCGCCATATTCCGCGGTGAGAAGCTCAGGCGTTCCACCAAGGACTTCTCCGGCATGAAGGCCAGCACTACGCAATTTGCAGACGAGGCAGTCGCTAGTGCAGCAGACGTTGATTGACTAGTGGCTGTAGGATGGTTTATTTAACTAGATAGCTAGTAATGCTTGTGTGGAGAACACTTTATTGATAATTAACTGTTGGTGTAGTAGAAATTCGTGCGTAGAAAGGAAACAGTGTACGAGATATATTACCCTGCTCAAATCAGTGTACTAGAACTTTTAGGCTGCTACAATCAGTGTACGGAAAAAATTACCCTACCAGTCAGGGTACGGAGGGCCTGCCACCCTGATTTGAAAGAGTGAGCTAAAACCTATTTTGGGCCCTGTTGATGGCGCTAGGTGGTGCGTGTGGGGAGCTCCGTCCATGCCTGCCTAGTGGTGCACGCAGCACGTGGGAGGTTGGAGGATTGCATGTTGGGTATGCTTCATGGATGGACCTGCCTCTTCATCCTCTCATCACTAACCTTGCCTTGCTCGCACCATTTTTCTCGGTGCTGTATTATTTTATTCCTATGTAGGGAGATCTTGATAGGCCGGTGGTAGGACCCTGTAGTGAAGAATGGACCCTCTGTGGAAGCTCTGATCTGGTGTGTTGCAATCACTTTAGGCTTCATCTGCCACTAACTTGCAGCACTGAGGAGGAGCTGTATTACCGTATGCAATTCAGGGTACGGTACCAGTATTAAAACCGAGATATAAAATAGTGAAGGCCGTCCCATCTTGAAATCGCTGCGATGAGTTGGGTTGATGTAACACTGTTCCAAACAAACCGAGCAGGCAGATTGAACTCAACCGATTGGCTCAATCCAATCTCGAAAATTTCCCTCCCGCCAAAACGATTTTCCAGGCCCATGTCAACCGTCGCATTTTTACACGATGCACTCGCACGACCGTTGCCTGCGATGGTTTCCATCGCCAGGCCCAACTTCCACTTCAAGTTGGGACTGGGTGAATGACAAGCTCATTTTCAGTCCCGAAGTCACTAGCGTTTAGCGTAGCATTAGTAGTAAAGCTGAGAAAGCGTAGATGTTTCAAGCCTAGGCACGTACGGTAGATCCGACTTAGCTCGCATGCGGAAAGTCGTAAACGTGGTTTTTTTTTTTTTTTTTTTTTTTTTTTTTTTCGCAAACGTGATATCGTCTCTCGCAAGTGCCACACTCCCGTCGCGCTCTCGGTGAATCGAGCTCCCGTCGCTCTACAGATCTTCTTCTCACACTACCCATCGCGTTGCCTTCGCGCTCATATCGAATCGCCCTTCCCTCCCCTCTCATCACCCACTTCGTCACCCTCACGTCGTCCTGTCCCCTCGCCCATGCCATCTCTCATCCCTTCCCCTTCCCATCCCGTCGTTTCTGCCTCTCTTCCTTCCCGTCCCGTCAATCCGCCTCTCTCCCTTCCCATCCCGTCAATCCGCCTCCCTCCCTTCCCACACCGTCGATCCGCCTCTTTTCCTTCCCATCCCGTCAATCCGCCTCTCTCCCTTCCCATCCCGTCAATCCGCCTCTCTTCCTTCCCATCCCATAAATCCGCCTCTCTCCCTTCCCATCCCGTCGTTTCTGCCTCTCGTCCTTCCCCTCTTCGTTCGCCCTTCCCCTCTCCGTACGTCTTCCCCTCTCCGTTCGCCCTTCCCCTCTCCATTCGCCCTTCCCCTCTCCGTTCGCCCTTCGCCTCTCCGTCCGCCTTCCCCTCTCCGTTCGGCCTTCCCCTCTCCGTTCGCCCTTCCCCTCTCCGTTCGTCGACCCCTCTCCGTTCGCCCTTCCCCTCTCCGTTCGTCGACCCCTTGTCAAACTTATATGACATTGTATATTTAGGCTCTAGTGGGGTAGACACTATAGGGTACAACACTTCTAGGTTTTGTACTTGTACCCACTTCTCTTCTAGTCATTCCCATTCCTCTCGATTCTCACATGGTATAGAGCGGGTTCCCTAGTGGGACCGTTTCTTCCTAGGGCCCACCATAGAATTATTTTTTTAGCCTACCCGAAGCGTGTTTCGCGCCCTGCCCTAAAAATCGCGGCCACTTAGTGGCCTTCCCCTCCCCTTAGCGGCCCCTTCGCGGCCCCTAGGCGGCCCCTTTGCGGCCCCTACGCGGCCCCTCGCGGCCCCTCTCACGGCCCTTTGCGGCCCCCGTCAGGCCCTTCGCGGCCCCTTCGCAGCCCTTCGCGGCCCCCTTTGCGGCCTCTTCGCGGCCCTTCGCGGCCCTCTCACGGCCCTTCGCGGCCCCTTCGCGGCCCTTCGCGGCCCCTTCTCGGCCCCCTTCGCGGCCCTTCGCGCCCCCCTCACGGCCCTTCGCGGCCCCCCTTCGTGGCCCCTTCGCGGCCTCTCCGTGGCGCTCTCACGGCCCGCCGTAGCCGCCCTGCCGTCCCTTCGTCGCCGCCCCAGCAGCAACTGCCGTCGCTTCCGCTGCCGCTGCTGCTGTTCGCCGCTGCCGTTGCCGTGAAGACCGCCGCCACCACTGCTGCCGTGACACCCGCCGCTGCTGCTGCCGTGACAGCCGCCGTCGTCGCTGCCGTCATAGCCGCCGGTCTTCGCAGCTGCCGCCGCTGTCTCGGACCTGCCCTGCAGCCGAGCCGCGGCCCTGCCCTGCCGCCCTGTCGCGGCCCTGATCCTGTCGGCGCACCTCGGTCCTGCCCCGCCACTTGCGGCCTTCTACCCACCCGCTCCTGGTAAGCGCACAACCGAGCCACGCTCCTACTGCTACTGCTCCTGCTAGCCTGCTGCTGCTGCTGTCATGGCTAGTCCCGCTGTTCTTACCTTCGATGCTGAGGGTCGTGCGATAGACTTTGAGGTCTGGCTCGATGATCTGCAGCTTTTCCTGCAGTGTGATAGCAAAGACGGTCTCTCGCTTTTCGATCTCACCGTCTGGCGCCTCTCCTACCCCTGCTGGCGATGCTGACAGTACTGTTCGCTCACAGTGGACCACACGCGATGCTGCTGCCCGTCTTGCTGTGCGTAGTCACCTGCCGTCCACTGAGCGCGCGCACTTTAGTCAGTACAAGAGTGCTAAGACCTTGTACGACGCTGTCTTCGCGCGCTACTCCTCCCCTGCCTCTGCTGCCCTTAGTCGCCTCATGCTGCCGTACCTTTTCCCTGACCTCGCCGCCTTTGCTACAGTCGCTGACCTCATTACGCACCTCCGCACTAGTGACACCCGCTACCGCGCTGCGCTTCCTGCTGAGTTCCGCGCCCATAACCCCCCCCCCATGTACATCACCCTCTACTACCTAGTCACCCGGCTCCCTGACTCCCTTCGCTCGGTCAGGGATCACTTCCTTGCTCTCTGCCCCACCACTCTCACCATTGACCTCCTCAAGAAGCACCTCCTTGCAGCTGAGAAGAGCATAGTCGCTGTAGGAGCCTCTCGTGGTGACCCTCGTACCCCTGTCTTTGAGGGGTGCTCCCCCGTTCCCCTTTTGCCCTCTGTTGCCTCTGCTGCTGCTGTCGACCTCCTTGGCACTGAGTCGGTCGGCGCTGCGTCTGCCCCCTAACGGGAGGCGCCGCAACAGCAAGGGCAAGGGGGGCAAGGGTGCTGGAGGAGCTGGCGGGGGTGGTGGTGGTGGCGGAGGAGGCGGCGGGGGGGGGGGTGGGGGTGGAGGTGGGAGTGGTGGCGGAGGTGGGGGCTCTGGTGGCAGTGGTGGAGGCGGAGGCAGCGGCGGCGGCGGCGGTGGGAGTGGAGGAGGTGGCGGTGGCGGCGGTGGCGGCGGTGGCGGCGGTGGCGGCAGTGGCGGTGGCGCTGGTCGGGGTGGCTCCGTGCAGCGGGGAGGCTTCGGTGGTGGCCAGCGTCAGCAGCAGCAGCGCTCTCGTGAGGCCCCGCCACCCCAGCAGCTTCACCAGTGGTACGCTGGGCGTCAGCGGCCTGGGGGTGCTGGTCCCTGTACCTACGTCCTGCTTACTGGTGACCGCACTGGAGAGCCGTGTGGCGGCCCGCACACCACCCAGCGCTGCTTCGGCCGCCTGACAGACGCCTGGCGTCTCCGGTTCCCTGACGCCACTGAGCTCCCTCGCTGGCATGATCTGCTTAGGTCGGGGGTTCCACTCTTTGATCTTGACTATGATGCTATCCTTGCTGCCATGTATGTTATGTCTACTAGTGATGAGGGTGACTGTTACCTGAGTGTTCCGCCCGACCCGGGCGGTGCAGCTGCTGCTCTAGGTGCCACTGAGTCTGCTGCTCCAGGTGCTAGTGAGTCTGCTGCTCCAGGTACTGGTGAGTCTGCTCTCTCAGGTACCACGTCTGCTCTTGCGTTGCACACTTTCACCCTTGACTCGGGTGCTTCCCGCTCCTTCTTTCGAGACCGCACCACCCTCACGCCGCTCAGTCGGCCGGTTGCGGTCTCCCTGGCAGACCCCTCTGGGGGTCTTGTCCTTGCCCACTACTCCACTGTGCTACCGTGTCCAGCGGTCCCGTCTGGCTCCCTGTCAGGTCTTTACCTCCCCTCGTTCTCTACGAACTTGGTGGCGGGAGCTGACCTCCAGGATGGGGGGGTTGACCAGTTCACTCCTGCGAGTCAGCGGGTGACCCTATGCACGTGTGCTCGGACGGGCCGACACTTGGCCACGTTTACCCGTCAGCCGGGGTCGAGCCTGTACACACTGACTACCGAGTCTCATCCAGTTGCTGTCCCTGGTCAGGTAGCTGCGTCGGGTCAGGTGTTTGCTGCAGCGTCTCGGTCTGGTCCTGAGTCTGCCCCCTGCTCGTGTCGCCTCCTGTCCCACGAGACTCTTCTCTGGCACCACCGCCTTGGTCACCCCTCCCTGCCTCGTCTCCGAGGCATGGCCTCTCGTGTCCTTGTCTCTGGTCTCCCCCGGTCTCTCCCTCCCCTCCCTCCGGGGCCTGCCCCTACCTGCGTTCCCTGCGTCGAGGGGCGGCAGCGCGCCGCTCCTCACTCCTCCGAGTTTCCGCCGACAGAGGCTCCGCTGCAGACTCTTCACATGGACGTGTGGGGCCCAGCCCGCGTCCGTGGACAGGGTCACGAGCGTTACTTCCTGCTGGTGGTTGACGACTACTCGCGTTACACCACAGTCTTCCCCTTGCGCCGCAAGGATGAGGTCACTGAGGTGTTGATCGACTGGATCCGCGCTGCTCGTCTCCAGCTCAGGAAGAGTTTCGGCTCGGACTTTCCTGTTCTGCGTCTGCACTCCGACAGAGGTGGAGAGTTTTCCTCCGGCCCTCTGCGAGCCTTCTGTCGTGCGAGGGGCATCCGCCAGACGTTCACGCTTCCGGCCTCTCCACAGCAAAATGGGATTGCTGAGCGCCGCATTGGCATGGTCATGGACGTCGCTCGTACGTCCATGATCCATGCGGCTGCTCCCCATTTTCTGTGGCCGTTTGCGGTTCAGTACGCGGCGCATCAGATCAACCTTCAGCCCCGGGTCTCCATGCCGGACACCTCCCCCACTCTGCGGTGGACGGGGAAGGTTGGCGATGCGTCTGCGTTCCGTGTCTGGGGATCTCGGGCTTTTGTCCGAGACTTGTCTGCGGACAAGCTGTCCTCCCGTATTGTTCCCTGCGTCTTCCTTGGCTTCCCCCCTGACGCGCCTGGTTGGCAGTTTTACCACCCCACCTCGCGCCGTGTTCTGTCCTCCCAGGACGTCACGTTTGACGAGTCGGTTCCGTACTACCGTCTCTTCCCCTACCGCGCTGCCCCCCTCCCCCCCCCCGCCGCTCTTCCTTGCTCCAGGTCCCCCCCCGGTAGACCCCCTCCCCCCTCAGGGTCCTGCTCCTTCAGGTGTGTCTCAAGTAGACCCCCCCCCCCCTTGGCTGAGCCTTTGGAGGTCACTTCCGACACCTCTGGCCCACCTGAGGGGGGTGACGTTACTGCTGGCGCCCCGACGGCCTACCGCCGCACACCACGCTTGGAGACCCCTCCGGGTTTCCCGCCGCGACCTTCTTCGCCGCCTCTGCAGCCGGTTACTGTTGACTCTGGTGCTGTTGGGGGTGGTGCTCCTGGAGGTGCTGCGTCTGGGGGTGCGGAGTCTGGGGGTGCTGAGCCTGCGCGTGAGGAGACTGGAGGTCCTGCGCCTGGGGGTGCGGTGTCTAGGAGTGCTGAGCCTGTGTGTGCGGAGTCTGGGGGTGCTGAGTCTGGAGGTGAGCCGTCTGAGGGTACAAGGACTGCTGGTGCGCGGTCTACTTGGAGTGACCGCCTTCGTCCGCGTGTGCCTCTCACCTCCCAGCAGCTGCACGACTGGTACGGTCGCCGTCAGGGTCGCGCTGCTGGAGCCCGGGGCTCTGCTGCTGGAGGTACTGGAGCTGCTGCGTCTGGGGGTGCCACTCCTGGAGACATTGAGGCTGGAGACCCTGGGACTGGAGGTACTGCATCTGGGGGTGCCGCTGTTGGAGGCACTGTAGCTGGAGACCCTGGGACTGGAGCTTCTGGTTCTGGGGGTGCTGCTGCGGGAGACACTGCGGTTGGAGACCCTGGGACTGCAGGTGCCGGTTCTGGGGGTGCTGCTGCTGGTGACGCTGGTTCTGGAGGTGCTGGCGCTGGAGGTGCCCGTGCTGAGGCTGGAGCTTCTGGAGCTGCTGGAGGCACTGGAGCTGCTGGAGGTGCTGGAGCTGCTGGAGGTCCTGGAGCTGCGGGAGCTGCCGGTACTGGTGCAGCTGCGCCGACACGACTGTTCTTCGCTCCGCTGTCTCCGTCGTCTCTACCGCCGCCTGACTCTGTTCTTTGTCAGGTTCTTACTCTCCCGTCGTCTACTGGTCTTCCGTTACAGCCTGGCTCACCGCTGCCTGCTCCCTCTCCTTACACTGAGCAGACAGGTAGTCTTGCTGAGCGTCGTGAGCCTGTGTCGCGTCATGTCTTGCCCGTTC